TGTATTCTTCTCAATGCATCACAGCCAGGCAAGGTATATCCTTTATTCTCAGGAGGTCTGGTCTTTCCATTTCTCCTATTTTTCATTCAGCTGTAGTTTGGCCACAACAATCACGTTTACCCCTTCCCTGTAGTAAATTTTAGAATCTTCTCTTTTCCTCTGTTTACAATGGTGTTATGTGATGTTATGGGTTAGATCTAAAATATCCCCTCAAATTGTCATGTATGGGAAAGGTGATGGGATCATGGTAGTACTATACTCATCCATAGATTATTCCACTGGATTCATAGCTGAGTGTACTGTTAGGAGGTGGGACCCGGTCAGAAGAGACAAGTCCCTGGGGGTGTGACCCAGAAGGGTGTATTCTTGTCCCAGGAGCTTTCCTCCTCTTCTGCTTCTTGGCCACCAATGCATGAGCTGCTTTCCTCTGCTATGCTGTTCTGCCATGATGTGTTTGCTGCTAACTATAGACTGAGCCCACTGAAACTGTGAGCCAAAATAAACCTCTCCTTTAAGTTGTAGGTGTTGGACACCTTTGATGCCTTCAGGGCACTCCAGACTCCTCCAAGTTCTATTCTCTTCATGGGATTCTGAGATTTGCCAGCGTACCTTTTGTCTCTATTAATTCACCAATCATGCTGGGTGAATTTTATTTATGTCACATTCCTTTGTGTTTTTTTTCTAAGTAAGCCAGTTCTTATGATCTTTCTTCTGACTTTGGGACAAATATTTCCTGGCTGTTGCAAATCTCTTATGAGTTCATGAAAAATTATGAATTTGAAGGGTTTTTTCCCCACAATCATCATTGTGAAGTAGAAGTGGCGGACTTTCCACCTCTCCACTTCCTCTCAAAGAGATGTGCTAAATCCATTTTATTTTTATAATTATAATATTTCTCTTTAAAATATAGAAATATTTTTATTTATGAGACTGTTCATTTGTCATATTTTAATGCAGTTCATTATTATAAACTGGCTCTAATACTTCACTTGGCTATTTGAAAATACATTTCTAATGCTTAGAGGTAAAAAATACTTTTTGAAATTGCCTCAAAACCTACAGTTCTAGAAGATGTTGACTATGACATAATTGTATTAAGCAATGCCCTGACTACTCATGTAAATTTAATACCAAATGTGTACCTTTGGAATTTACATATTTATTTGGACACTTTTATTTTAATATTAAATTGTCAACAGAAATGCATTGTGTTACTGTTAGTCTGTTTTTATCACTGTGACCAAGTCCCTGAGAAAAACAACTTAAAGGAGGAAGGGGGTTATTTTGGTTCATAGTTTCAGAGGCTTCAGTCCATGGTCACTTGGCTCTGTCTCTTCTGGGACTTTAGTGAGGCGGAGTATCATGATGGGGAGTCTGTGCTGAAACAAACCTGCTCACCTCATGGAAGCCAGGAAGCGGAAATTGGGAGAAAGAGCCCGAGAAGAGGTGGCTGGGAACCAGATATAGTTCCTAACGTCACATTCCCTTACCCATTCCTTTCAACCAGGCCTTGCCTTCTGTTGCTGTCACCTTCATACTATGCCATCCAATTACTCTTTCATCAATGGATCAATCTACTTGATGAAGCTGGAGTCCTCATGATCCATTTACTGCCCCCAAAGCCTGCCAACAGCTAAGTCTTCAACACAACTAGCCTTTTTGGGTGACATATTTAATAATAAACATAGGCCCCATTGAAGAATAGACAAAAGTTAAATGATTTCTTTGAGAGTGGAGATTATTCCTCAATATTTTGGTTATTTTCTTAAGTAAAGGCTTACTTCTAAAGCATATTTTCAGGTATTCAGATTTCTTCAAATGTTTTCAGTGATAATCGGTGCCAGTCTATTTTTTTTCCAAATTGGTTGAGGTATAATCAACAAAATTTCTACAACTTGATGTTTTGATAAACACATTATGTTATGAAAATGATTATCATAATGAGGTAACGTACAAATCACCTCACACATTGAACTTATCTTTCTTTGTTTTGTTTTGTTTTTTGGGTTTTTTTTTTTTTTTTGGTACCGGGGATCGAACTCGGGACCTTGTGCTTGCCAGGCAGGTGGTGGAAACACTGAGCTAAATCCCCGGCCCACAGTTATCTTGTTCTTTTCCTTATTCTTTTAGTGATTGTGATGAAACATTTAAGATCTACCTCCTTGGGAAATTTCAAGTATACAACAAAGTATTTATTATTAACCATAGTCATCATGCTATATGTTAGCAGTCTACAATTAATTAATCTTTTATAACTGAAACATTTTATCCTTTGATCAACATCTCTCCATTCTAAATATTCTTATATGTGGAATACAGTGTACTAATATGCAATATATAAGTATGTGGAGTATTTATGTACAGTAGCTACCACTTATTGCTATAATAGATATTCTACTATTTATAAGGAAATGAAATGCAAATACCTGGTCATTAAACATATAGCTATTTCTGAAATAATTTGTACTCATAATTCAGCTTTATCAAGTTGTTACACATACATATTGTATTAGTCAGCTATTCTGTTGCTGAGACAAAATACTTGACCATATACCAAAGTATATATTTTTCTTATGAATTCTACAGGATGTCTAGTGATTAGTTCTTCCCTTAATGTACCTACTTGTAAGCCAACTTCTAAGTAATTACTGTTTTGAAGATAGAGGGGTTCTTGCCTGCAATTAATAGTGAGACCTTCACTCTGAAATCACCACACAACAGAAAGAACTCCAAAGCCTACTGTATAAAATAGAGGAGATCAAAACTTGATCTAAGGCTTTTGGAATGACAGCACTCCATTGCCTTTTATAATTGTTTTATAAATTTGTGTACTAAAAATATCTTTGAGAATGTATCCAGTGAAAACTGGCCAAAGTATTAGGAATGCAGTCAAAGATGACTTGTTCTAAGACACCTTTACATTCCAAAGAGAAATCCCATAACTATAAACAATCACTGTCGGTTCCCTTCTCCCGAACCCCTGGATTTCAGTTTCAAGGAATTCACATATTCTGGGATATAATGTCTTCTTGGAGAGTTGACCCTATTACCATCATGCAACGCCCCTTTTTATCCCTGAGAATTTCCTTTACTCTAAACTCCATTTTGTCTGAAACTAATATAGCTACTTCACTTTATTTTTAGTAGTGTTACCATAGCACATCTTTCTCCAGCTTTTTAGTTCTAATTTATACTTTTTAACTTTAAGATGGATTTCTTCCAGCCCATAGGTAACTGTATTTTGCTTTTGAGTACAATCTGTTTCTGTCTTCTAAATGGTGGACCTAGAAAATTAACATTTAAAGTGAGTATTGACATTGTTGACTTAACCTCTCCCATATTAGTTATATTTTTCTATTCATTTCCTTTTCTTTGCTGACAGATAATAACTGTACATCTTTATGGGTACACTGAAGTTATGGGACATTTGTTATCATACATTGATCAGTTTAAGGTACTCAAGTTATACATCACCTTGATCCTTCATCAGCTTCTTTGTGAAGGCAACATTCTGGTGATATGTACAAAATTACCTTCCAGCCATCTTTAGCAAAACAGTGATCAATCATTAATCTAGGTGATAGGCATTTCCTCATTTAGTCCTCAGGTTAGAAAGGAATGAGAATTTACTATTCCAGTTTTACAGACAAAACACTAACACTCCAAGAAGCTAAACTATTTTCCCAAAATTATGATCCCAGCAGGGCCAGGCTTCAAAGCTTTGGTTAGCAAATTCTGTGCTATACCTTACTATGCTAGGGTGTTTTTATTTAATAGGAAACTTGCTGGATAAAAGAACCCTAAAGAAGGGAATTTTCTCTGATTTTTAGAACATCTTTTCCTATGTATGGATGTGAGATCCAGAATCTGGAAGGGCGTTTTCTCAACTTGATCTTCCTTGTGTTTTATATTAAATTTATTATAATTGTTACTTTGGTATATTAATATGAAATTATCTTAAAATACAAGTTTAAAGCTGTAGCAGACATCTCTATCAAGTATTAGCAGACGCTGGTTAACTGCACCCCAGGTTCAGCACTCTTTGATCTCCCCAAGCAAGGCAAAGCAGTGCCTTCCCACTTTACATACCTGTTTGCATATCAGCTATATCAGCCGTCGCCAAATGCTTCTGAACACTTCACACTGTGTCACTTGATGTCTTCAAAGCAAACCTTGCTCCCCCTCCCATGCTTGTAATCAATAAATACTGGGTGCCCTTGACACCCTTTGTCTTTACTGCCCAGAGCACCAGACCCAGTTCTCTCTAAGTCTCATTTCTTTCTTTACTCTTAACAGCTTGTGTTGTAGGGCCTCATAGGAGACTGTAGACCTACTGCAGTGGTCTATGGTAACGTCCCCATTCCTGTTCCATATATAAAGCTAAAAATCAGTTGCACCTCTTAATCCCCAAAGGGGACATTTGGAAATCAAAATCACACATAGGACAGGATTGACAGTCACTAAAGGAATATTGAACACAAAAGTGTAAATCAAACAATATGGATAAGAGAATGAGAACAAATACTAAAAATCTAAATTTCATTCTAAAATTGACAAGGTAAAATGAATGTATCTGACATATCCATTTACAGGGAAAACAGATTAGATATGGCTAAGGAACCTAGATGAATCCTAACTATGGGGCTGAGTGAAATATTAATATGAACGATAGAAAGAGAAAGTATAAAGGAGCCCACACGCAGAACCACACATTTCATTCACACTCACTAGAAGAGAAGGGCGCACCTCTAATGCTGAGAATGGCACGGAGAAGAGAAGGGGACGCAACTGAGGAGCGGAAGTGCGGGAGAGTGAGTCCCTGCCCTCCCCTCCCTCCCC